AAAAAAAAAAAACGGTAACCTGGTTGCCGAGTTCACGAAGTGAATTGGCTTGTTTTACAACGTCGTTGCCAAGCGACGAAAACCCAATCCCGATGGCAAACACCGGGGGGGGCGGGGCATGAAAATAAACAAAAATAAGAAAAAAGCCCTGACACCTGGTGTTTACCCCCTCCTGTGTGACCTGGATGGTTGTAGATGTACGAAAAAATACACGAAAAGTGTAGTATTCTACACACGCTGAAAAGGCGTAGTACACGTCTCACCACGAAAAATGGGGGGATTGTCGCCATACTAAATAGGACGAAAAACCACACATAGACTACCACGACGCCCAACCAAGCTGGCTGTCTTCACCTGACGGTTACAGACGACTTGGAAACACGTCTTCACAATACTGCACAAATCCCATGCAGTAGAATCAGTCGTTCTTGTACACAAATACTCCAACACAGCCCATGGACAACGGGGCCATGTTGTCGCTCATGACAAAAGAGCACGAAACTGCGGTCGGTGCCCCCTACTCACTTTTTTATATCGGGCTTGAGGGTTATATTGGAACAGCTCTCACTGTAGTGTCATTCTAGATCACGCGGTCGCAATCTGTGGTGCCTAAGCTACTACAGTTGTACCCTGCCCCCGAACGCCAGTGTTTTTCATGTACTTCCTGGACCGCGACAGCGCTGCAAAGTCTGGCCAGCGGCTCGTTGAGGACATACTACGCGCTGGTTGCGTCGCGGCCAGCTACTCGCGTGTAGAGGGAGTTGGTGTCGTTTCGAGGTGATCTTTGCAGACTCATGGCGAGCGATATAACGCTGATCCATATTTTAGATTGTGTGGTTGTCCTTGTGCCGCGTGGCGAAGTCACAAAGGACGCAGTCACGTTTGTTTTCGGACCACGACGGCCTGCGGAAGTTGGCCGCCAAGAGAGCTGAAAGACAGACAGAGCTTTTGCAACACCAAACGATTGGCTGGCAAGGTGAAGCAAATCTCGAGCTGAAAGCAAAATCACGACGTGAAAACTGCTTGCCGGCGTAGGTTGGAGCTGTATTGTACTGGTGTGCCTATTTCATGGAGATGCGCGGTCTTTGCCAGTAGTACCAGCGGTAACTTAACAGGGTTTACCAAGAGTGGGTTGAGCAGCTAAAAAATCAGCGGGGTTCCGGAAAATTGTAAAGGTACCCATTTTGCGTTTGCCCACGTTGTTTTTTCGGATGGGCTGCAACGCAGGTAACATACATGCGGTATTAGTGCGTGGCGTGTGTTGTGCTTGGCCGCATGAATATTCTGTTTCTTCGCAGGTTGAACAAAACGAAGCACAGCTGATCTCGGCCGCTCGCGTGTAAAGGAAAAATACTTGCTCTCTCCAAGATGCGCGATGCCATCGCGGAAAACGGTAGTGTTGTGGAGACGAAGCCCACTCCCTCCCTCGTACCTTGTTTAGTCTAGACTATCAGAAAATCCCTGCGGTGGTCCACAACAAAATAGAAAAAAAGCTACCACCTTTTTAGCGACTTCTGGAGTTTTGCTTTTGGGTTCGTGCGTCCATGTCGGTGATGAAACGCAATGTTCCACGTCCACATATCTTCTCTATGTCGAGGAAAACTGTTACAACGTAGTCAGGCACAGTTTACCATAGGTGCGACTGCGGCAACTAGCCTTCCGTACAGTGTAGACATAATACAGAAAGAAGAGATGGTACTCAGCAGAGAACATGAGCACAGAGTTGTAGCGGAGATAATTTGGCAGGCGAGACTGTAGTTGTTTTATTGTTCCGAACCCCGAAATTCCGGGACTCGGGCCATTACTCCGGAGACCCTCGGAACCTGCTGTGTTTTTGCTGCTTGTTTCTTGTTTTTGTTTTGTTGTTGAGATGAGACACAAGCGCGCCTTCGCCCCTTGTGCTCACTCTCATCTAGCACCCATCAAAGCCTGACCAGGGAGTCAGTTGATAAGAAAATCTATCTACATTTATTTCTCTTTCCAGAGCTCGCTCGGGCCTACCGATTTCACAGCAGTGTAGACGAACCTCTGTGATAGAGCGGTGACAGCAGTGTAACCTCTGTGGTAGACTACAAAGTCTACGAGCTACAGCAGCACCGCCACCTCCGCTGCTGCAGGACGCCACATTTTGTGACTCTAGTATTTGTTGTGTACAGCAGAGTACAAGCAGTAGACTAGAGACAGACGAAGAGAACCGCGCTTGCCCGGGAACTCTTCGAAGGGTACAGCACAACGCGAAACAGAGCGTGCTCCCACTTATGTCCATGTGTTTGTTGACGCAAGCACTGTCATCATGTGCACGTACTTTCTGCGCACGTACCGTCCCCAAAACATGCAACTTCACACACTTTTGCATCACTACCAGTTCTTCTGTGTCAGCGTTGACTCGGTTTTGATTACTTTGTTTTTCACCACTGTACGTACTCACTATCATGGGTGAACGTACGCTGCTAAGTTGTGTTTGGCGCGTGTACTATCCCGGTTATCGATGCCTCTTCATTACGCTATGATCTGCACACACTGGCCCGGGGCTGCAACAAGCGTCCCGAGTTCGTGAAGTATTATCAAATATGTTTAGGCGCTGAGTGAAAGCTGGTGAGTAAAGAAGAAAATGTGGTGTTCAACGCGTGACGTCCCTGCTTTTGTTCAGGTTGAGTGTTTAGACTAATGCAGCGGGTTCTGGTGGAATGCACAACGCTTGAGTTAATATAGATCTGGCTTCATCGTGTTGGCCTCACACAAATTTCAAACTTCCCCCTCAACACAACAACACTCTTTCGGTGCCTTTCCGCCCCTCATATTATCGCCCATGTCGCAGCCAGACGTTGATTCGAGTCCTTTCCACTCTTGGCCCTTCCTGGAGCCTCGGTCGATGCCGTGGAGCAGCGCCCTTGATCAAGATTGGGGAACCACCCTGTGGCGGGCGCACAGGAGCTATCTCGTGTGAACCAGAGGTCCTTGTTTATGGAAAAGGTGAGCCCTCTTCTGGACTCGTCCCCCTGCAACTTTGCCATGCATACGGATCTACTCTGAAATATTTTACCAGTTACTACTGGTATTTTTTAATGTTGGCGCTCCTCCACCATCATCTTTGATGTGCGCATCATGTAACAACCCCGACAGAGCGTTTCTGTAGTTTTTTCTATTTTTTGTCAATCCCGTGCATGGACCAAAGAGCTGACTAAATAGCGAATGGGCATCAGCGTAATGTTTGGCGTGTGGCTATCTTGCTTTGATGTTTGCACGTTCGTTGTTTCCGCCCAATAAATGAGGTCTGACCGGGAACTATGGCGATTCTTGTTAGCTTGGCTCTCGGGGACCGAGCACCATGGTCGTGACCGAGCATGCTCATGATCGTGGCACTATTCATTTCCCCTGGGCGCACTCCGGGGAAGTAAGAAACATTTTTTGAGAAACAATAGCTCAAAATTCCACGAAAAATAAGAACATAGGGTTGAGAAGCACAGCTCAATCTGGGCCACAATACAAGAATCGTCTCTGTACGAAATCAGTATCACCGCTACCCTATTAAGTATGAAACGAGGGTTATCGGGGGGGGTGTTTCGAATACGAAACACCCCACAGCTCCTAGCTCTCTCTCTCTCTCCCTCTCTCATGTGCTAACCACCCGCCCCTCGCCGTAGTTGGTGCATATTTGTTGTACGGCGAGGGGGTTGTCTTTTTGCGGCGCCCCCTCCCCCACCCTGCCGGCTCTGGCGCTGCCTGGCACATATCGTGAACCTCGATATGCTGTCTGTTGTACGGGGTTGATGGCGCTCTCCGCCGCCTCCCGTGATAGCTTTCAAAGTTTAAGAAATGCAATTTCAGAAATTCAGCAGGATCCTGCTGCACGACAAAAGAAGAAACTTGCCATACGAAATAGGACAACGTACCATGAGTTTTCAGCCCAAACAAAGTATTTGAGGCTGGACCGGAAACTGGCGTTTCGTGAACGCGGGCGCGAACGTTTTACGCGAGAAACAGTTCCGGACACATTGGCCCCCGGGGGGAGCAAGGGGGGGAGTGTACTCATAGTCGTGCTTGCCGTAGTTGTTAGACTATTGACCTCGCATCCCTACAAAGCCGGGACGGAGCACGCCGGTTTCTCACCGGACCAGGCTCTCACATCACCAAGCGCGAAGCGCCGTGAGATGTTCGGCGAGTCGCATAAAGGGTGCGCCGCATCCTCGTAAGGGCGTTCGGCATCTTGTGCTTACTTCCTTGCGTACGGATGACAGCTGGGTATGACTTATTTTATTTCGGTTCTTGCACTTCCAGAGACAGGTGTAAGTACTGTGTAGCTGCCTCGAGGGTGCTTGACCAAGTTAGCACAACGTGGTGCGATTATCCCATTTGCGCGGAGTGAGGGTTCTCCACCCCGCACAACATAGTCTGCTCGACCACCACTCATGTTTACAGAAAAAAAAAACAGAGGTACAAAAAAGGCGGTAACTTGGTTGCCGAGCTCACGAAGCGATCGCCTTGTTTACAACATCGCTGCAAGCGACGAAAAACCAACCCCTATGTCAAACACTAGGGGGGGGGTTAGGTCCCCGGGAGCGGGGAATTTCGAAGTTACCACGAATCGCTGGGAAAATACGACCCATTCCGTGAGCATTGGTGGCCATCGGACGTTCGGATTCGACAATAACCCAGCACACACAAACAGACAATAAACTGCGTTACCGACCAAAGTTATTCTCATTTCGCACATGCGAATACACGATACCGCGTGCATGTCCAAGCGTGCACCAACGTGCTGGTTCTCTTGCTACCCTCGTCCAGACGGACGGCAGGGGAGCCAGAGGCTGTTCCAGAAGGTTCATCGGGTTACGCATGAGAATCTTGCGAAGATTCATATCCCTGGGGGGTCGCGGGGTGTCGACCACCTCTCAGCGCCGGTCTTCAGGCATACGGATGACATACAATACACCCGTAGACACGTAGTCAGTCACAGAGGGCCAGAGGCCTTCGCGAAAACGCCTCAGCATACAACCCAGAACCAGGAATCTTCGGTATGTTTGCCCACCTCAGCGTGAACGCCTTAATTTAAACCGGGGGACCTCTGTTTTGCGTCCCCGTCCCCGCCCCCGCCCCCCCAAATCCCCCCGCGGCCTCAGACGTCAATTTGTGGGCGTATCTATCAATAACTGCCTTGAAAATAATTGCGCGCAACCCTTAATGCCAGTGTAAGATACCACCAGGCATCTCATTAACGGAGTATAATGCACCACCACTGCACGAGAGCAAAGCGCCCAAAAACAGACGTCCCTGCTACACTCGGTCAGATTTGACATCCAGTTGCTCTCCCGCACAAGCACCTCGGACAGATGCAGCTTTAGCCTTTTCGACAGACTGAGGCGGCAACCATTTTCCCCGACTCATTTGTCAGTATGGTTCAACTGCTGTTAAATCTCCCGACAAAGATCAGGCTTCGAGATATGAAGAACATTGCCATGTCGGCACGGTTGGGCGTCATTGCTTGCCAACTATGGTTGTACACGAACCCAAGCCATGCAACCCCCCTCGCGCTTGTTGGCAAATAGTGCTGTCAATTGTCCATGCAAATGGTGTGCGCAGTACGTACGTAGTGTGTGTGTGGGTTGCGCACGTGTTTTTGGATTTTTGTTTCATATTTGTATAGTCTATTCATATGTGAGAATACCCTTTCTCTGTTCCCGGGTAAGGGACCCTCAAGGGGTGAATAACCGTTCACCAGTGGTTGCCAAGCGTGGCCAACTTTGGTCGGAAGTGCTAGTTTCAATACCGGTGGAGTGGTCTAGAAGGAAGGTCACACAGGTCACATACTGTGCATGCACTCATCCAAACTTGCCGAAAAAGGAATTCAAGTAGGGCTAGCCTGCTTAATCACTCTGCGCGTTGTTCACTTTCTCATCGATGACGTCTTCCTGCCTCGGGTTCGTTTTCCGAGGATGCGTATAGAGCCAACATACATATTTGTCAAGGTACGATCGTTCGGAGGACTGCTAGCGGCGCCGTAGGTGATCATTCCAAGTGAAGGTTCGTTGAGGCTGGACGTGATCGACTTGCCGACAGGATTCTTTCCGGAAGGCATCACCAACGGCGAAGGATGGACTGCGTTCGTGGGCTCATGGATGAGTGAGAACTCAACTTTATTCCCCGTTGACGTTGCCTGTTGTTTCCTGTTGCTTTTGACGAGTTTGTTTCCGATTCCAATCGGTTGTGTTGATCATTGTCTAGACCGCATCTCGACACCAGTTCGTTCCAACACGTCGTCACGTGTTGCTGGACGTATCCGTTTCGGCGAGGGTACCAGATCCCGCATGGTTCCCCTCCACCAAGCCGGGATGGATGCGACGCCTGTGTTCTAACGACTACGTCATGCACGGCTATGAGTACACCCTTTCCTTCACACCCCGTGCCATCGTCTGGAGGCGTGAAGTTCCGTTGGCTTGTACTGGCGAGGTTGCAATAACCGCATTCTTTATCGTTGTAGTCGAGCACACCAACGTGGTAATGTCGCACATCGACGAAAGACAGTAGTCCATCTATCAGATTGGTGTTGGCTTGACCATTTCGCTTTCGACCAGTTTGGTGTAGACGGGCCGGTTTCTCCCTGAAGTTTCCTCTCTTAGTCTCAGCCTTCCTTCGTATTGAAGAATAGGGAGTTCCCCGTTGTTTGCCCATCCCGTAAATGATCCAGGTAGGAACATCTGGAAGGGCGATCTCGAAACCGGCCACGGCGAAGTGTTTGAGCTTGCTGCTCCGGGCCCCGCGGTAGGCCTGGACCACGACCGCCAATCTGGCTATCTCTTCGTCGCTGGGGGACAACTAGGTGCGCCACCATTTTTCATTCCATTGGCTTGATTGACTGACGATGAACTTCGTGTCATTCTTTCGTGGGCTCGTGGGTCGATGCAATCTCATATATTTGAATAGAACCTGGGTGTGACAATTGTGGGAGTCGGGTTGATGCGCCCAGAGAGCGTTCCATACGGTTTTCAACAGAATTCAGAATGGGCTTGACAACACGCACTCACAACACATGTGTCGATGCGGCACCGCCAATTACTGATGTCGAAGTTTCGTGGGATTCCTGCACAAAATCCGTTTTTTTTTGTTGGCATGATTCGAGTGAATCCAATTGAACCAAAGAATATTTCATCACTCCCTTCCTGGTCTGCAACTTGCGTGCTTCGTTTGGCACATTTTCGTAAGGCCTTGTCATTCACTTTCGTGCTGGTTTCCCCTGGCACAATATTGCTAGCTGCACCAGGGCTGGTTCGGTCCTGGTATCTTGGGAGCCTAAATGCAGTAGATACGCTTCTTGCTCAAAATGAAGTCGTGAGAGTTGCACGAAACGTTGCTGAATAGCTCAAAATCGGCACTAGTGTGGGCGGGCTCAATACCCGCGAGTAATCCAGGGTCGTTCGCGACGAAATGAATTGAATTCGCACATTTACGCCCTTGTCTTTCGTGTCTCGTCTGACCAACGCAAGAGTAATCCATCAGGCACGGCACGCGTGTACGACGAGGACTTTGCATTGATTGCAGATCTTGTCCTAATTGAGGGCAATGGACATGAGCCATTCAGGAGGGTCGGTCCCATCGCGGTGGTGCCGTTTCGGCATTTCCACGATGGATGCGCCAGCCGGAGATGTAAGAACCTCGGGCTCCTCCTCAGGTTCGTCCTCGTCTGCCCAACACCCTTGCTGCTCCCAGCCGGCGGCAGTGGGGACATTCTCATCATCGTCTCCACCCCCGCCGCCGAAGGTCTTCTCGCGCTTGCCCGAATCATCGCCATCGTCACCGCCGCTGGTGCTGCTAGCGCGGTCGGCACCCTCGGGGTCATCCGACTTGTCCTCCGGAGGGCTGCTACCACCCCAGGAGCGTAAAGCAGGCACGCCTACCGGGGGTGTCCCCCGCGCCAGCGGGGATGTGCTTAGCGGCGAGGCGTTGCTGTGGCAGCTCTAGCTCAGCTTCCAACCTCGAGGCGACGCTGCTGCTCCTCAGGCCTCTTGCACTCCGTCTCTTCCGCCTTGTCGCGAGCGCGTTGCACGGCTGATTTTTTCACCATCTCTCACCTCTACCTCCAGTACCAGCAGAGAATCTTGTAATTCGTTGACGCCAATCCGGACTCAGGCTTCCCTCGTTGTGGGGAGTCCCAGGTCGCAGTAGTCTAAACCCACTACTATCGGCTGGCAGTTTTCTTCGTTGAGATATAGAGAGGAGAGGGTCTCAGAGGACAGAGACAAGAGAGTGCCGCCGAAGGGGCGAGCGAGACCAAGCCCGAGGGTCTCGGATTCCCATGCTCCGCAGGTGGCGCCAAGAGGGACGCACCCATAGTCGGGTTTCTTGCTGATCAACCATCAGTAAGATCTTCCGCTCGGATATCGTACACGTGTAGTCCTACTGTTGTCTCTCACTTTTCGGAAATTGCCACTTTTATTATTGTGTCGCCGCGTAAAGGCCGGGTCTTGGAGGTGGAACTCTCCCCCTCCCTCCCGGCCCTTAAGCCTACTTCGGAATCCAAACGCTTCCTTACGTACTAGGAACCCGGTTGACCACACTCCGCCAGTCGCACAGCTTGGACACAAACCTCCCCATCACGAAGTCTTGCTGTTCTTACTTCTGGATCCATCTTCACGATTTCTTCCCCATTCCGTCCCTTGCCCCGGTTGTCTCTGAAATTCCCCCTTACCTTCTTCCCCTGATCGGGTTTTCGACGCTTGGCAACGACGTTGTAAAGCAAGCCCCCCCCCCCCCCCCCCCCCCCCCCCGGTGGTTGCCATCGGGGTTGGGTTTTCGTCGCTTGGCAACGACGTTGTAAAACAAGCCAATTCACTTCGTGAACTCGGCAACCAGGTTGCCGGGTTTTTTTTTTTCCTCCGTTTTTTTTTTTGCGGTAACCATAATGGTGGCCGAGTAGATCATGTTGTGCGGGGTGGAGAACCCTCGCTCCGCGCAAGGGGGATGATCGCACCACGTTGTGTTAAAATGGTCAAGCACCCTCGAGGCAGTTACACAGTGCTTACAACTGTCTCTGGAAGTGAAAGCAACAGAAAATAAAGTAGTTCATACGCAGCTGTCATCCAAACGCAAGGAAGTAAGCACAAGATGCCGAACACCCTTAGCAGATGCAGCG